GCAAGGGGAAAACCCGTTTCACTTCAGTTAAACGGTTGTCCGTAGTGAATTAGCATATTTGTGTTTTTCGAAATTCGAAAGTTTTGAATGCTAAGTGAATTTAATTATTTTTAAAATATAAATCGTGTAGTTGTAGGTTCGCTGGTGCATGTATTCCGTTCCAGAGACTTAGGGGTACGTATTAATCTGTGTGATTTTCACGTTTTTAAAGTTTGGTGCCGACAGGAATTCAGTTAACCCAAGATGGAGATGCGTGAAATACGGACCCCGTTGGTGCTTTTAATACGGAACCCAACTCCCCCGGTGTTCAGTATTACCAACAAATTCAAACCATAAAATAATGTTTTTACGTTTTGTTTTATTTACGAAAACATTTTTTTAATTTAAATACTATCTTAACAAGAAATAAAATGTAAGATAACAATCGAAATAAACATTTTTTTTCACGAAAAGAAATATCGCCCGCTTACAAAATAGCGAAACTGAGCATGCGCGAAGTGACAGTATCGTCTGGTAAAGTAAATAGTCTACAAGTAAGTTGAAACTTTTATGTTTATTTATTTGAAAAATAATAAATGTAGCAGTTGTGATAAATGGGCACACTGTTCTTGTGCCAATATTGAAGTGATGATGACTCTTCTTTTGACATGACTGGCTTTAAAGATGACACTGCTTATCTGTTTGCAGATAATAATCATGGGCAATGCCCAATATGCGCTATGTGGACACATAAAGATTGTGCTGATGTTGAAACGGAGCATTATATTTGTCATTTTTTTAAATGATTAGCTTCTTTTTTGTACAATTCTTTATTAGTATTATTAATATTATTAAATTATTTTTGCGTTAAAATAAATCGGAGTAAATGATTTTGTAATTCGTTAACATTCTTTGTACTTTCCTATTCGTTTTTGGCTACATTAAAGCATTTTTTGAAAATATACTGTAAGGTTCCGTATTACCACCCGATTTTCTCTAAGCCAACTTTCTGACTTTTTGTACAAAAGCCTTCAAAAATCATACTTATAGTTACACTAGCGAAAAATCCAATTAGGAACATTTAGTTTAATAGTTACAAGTACTTTTTGCACAAAAACTGTGGATGTAGTTATGATACCTTGTTTACAATTCACTAAAATGTAATTGTGTTTTTATAATACCGCTTTCTCCTCTACGTTTTGAGATTTTTTGTCTAGTACTGTATATAAATGACAGAATGTTTTTAAATTTTTTTATTAAATTTTATATTATATATATTTTCTGAGACACAGAGGAAAATATAGACTACACGAGAATCTCCACACTCTTTAATTAACATTCTTTATTAACTTTTAATGCCTTTGCTCGATCTGCACCAGATTTTTTACACATTTCCTTGGGACATAGACGAATCTGCACACTACACGTGACTGTCACATGACTACATGACGAGTTATGAATGTCTCATAAGATATCTTAAAAATTATTATCTTATAAAGTTATGTGCAACTAAAAAATACTCGAAATCTCATTTTAAAAAAAACTGCTGAAACCAGGTTGAATACATACATCTCGACAAAAACATCATAATAAAGGTGACTGTTTCCTCCAAACCTTGCTGTAGTTGTAGTCTATGTAATGTGAACTATACTTACATCAACAGTCTTACTGTCAAATCTTCCACTATTCTTATCCCTTAACAGATGATTTTTAACTGATGCTTTCACTATTCTTATGCCAGAACATTTAAAAGTTTTTCCATATTTCGAAACCGTGTTGTGTCTTTATATTTATATTTTAAAACCACTAAATTAAGGTTTTAAAAAATATATATTTAAAGGTTTTGTTTATTTAGATATTTCTGCCGAGCTCTACTTTTACGACTTGGTTTTATCAGTTATTTATTACATATACAAGAAGTATATTGCAATGTATTTTATTCATAAAACTGTGAGAAACTCGATTTTATAAACTACAGATTTATATTCCTATACTATAATTTACTCGCTGACTAGCCCTGGCGCTCGAGTAAATCATAGTATAGAAGGGTTTGTGTGCTGGTGTCTTTTCCTAACTTAAACTGAATGATTATTTACAAAGTACTAAAACTTTTAAACAGAATACGACAATACCTTTGATGTGCAAGGAGCTTCATTGACGTGTGTCTGTTTATGTAGCAACCATTGTTTCTCGGAGTTTGTAGTAAAGCGACATTGATGACATTCAAATAATTTTTGAGAAAATTCCAAACTTTTATCTTTCTCGTTTGTTTTAAGATGTTCCTCTCGCATCGAACTCGCTACTGAGATTTCAGAAGAAGAGTGCATCTCACTCTGTTCCGAGATTTTAAAAGGTTTTGATGTGCCTTCGCCTGCAGTTTTCTAAACAATTGAAAAATATTGTTAACTATGAAATTCCTTTTATACCATTCAACAATGCTTTTTACATTTAATTCAGAACTAATACCAAAACTAATATAACAATGATAGAATGTCGATGAAAATCTTTATTTAAACATTATTTAAACATTATGCAATACTTTTGTGTGTGAATCAACTTGGACAATCGGCGATGTTTTAAATGAGCTGCAATTTGTGGCACTGACATTTGTAAAATTTGAATACAGTAAAAAACTTTCTATCTAAAGACAGTGTTTATCTCTTTCCCAACGATTCCCTATGTTTTGTTGTTATTTTGTTAAGTTACTGCAATGAAACATTTGGCTAAGTGGACGCCTTCCGGAAAATTTTTTAAGGTTAAATGGCTTCCATCATGCGTTACAGACGTAGAGAAAACCCGGAAATCTCCACGTGGCAGGCCCATTTGGACGGGGTGGGAATCCATGACCCAATTCCTAGGAATCGGTTGGCCAATGGTGGACCCCGATGTCTTACGCACCCTTCTCCCAGGTATACCAGTACCTTCAGATAACATTAGCGGGACTGAAGATTTGGGGTTTTTTTTGTGTATTTATTTAAACTCAAGTAGTAACTGACGCATTGACTTGTGATCTAGATGGTCGGGATTCAATTTTCTGGAATAAGTAAAAAATATTAATTGCTTCGCTTAGTTTTAAGCACGGTATAGCACTACACGCACATCAGAAAATTCAGTACAACGGTTTTGCTTCCTGCATACAAATAACGTTAATGATAAACGTCGTTTGTTTTTATTTTGTAACTTAATTAATTTTTCGTTTCATTGAAGTTGTAGATCCTGTCGAGCATTATTTGCAAAAAGAGGGACAAGTGTGCTTTCTCAGCAGTAATAATTAAATCGCTTTACAAATCTTTAATATTGTGAAAAGGTTTGTAAATAAGTCTGAATCATACCAATCAACTGCATATTATAAAAATTATATTTATGTCATAGATTTTCAATGTTAGTCTATTATAATAGAAAATACTTCACAAAGACCGTTGTGAAATTAACACATTTACAATTAGAAAATTCTCTATACGTAGATTTTGTATATCTTACTATAAGAAAATTGTTACATATTTTTAACTTATTGTTTTTTTTTAAACTAAGATATTGTACTTATTTAAATATACTTTTATCTACCTGAGATGAAGATTGTTTTTCTACTGTCGAATGAATTATTCGCTTGTGTTTGTATAATTTCTCTTCTCTTGTAAATCTTCGAAAACAATCATCATATTGAAACTGTTTTTCTCCCGCGTGACTTCTCTCGTGACGTTTTAAAGCGGATGGAAATGGAAAATATTTCGGGCAAAACTCGCATCGATATTTTTCCAAATCCAGAAATCTCGGCGGAAGCTAAGGAAAAATTATATTATTGAAACTATTTTATTTTATAAAATATTAAAGGATTAAATAATATAGAAAAACGTTATTATATACCTTTAGTTACACACACATTAGTACAAGAATTGGAATCAAAGAAATAGAATTTTTTAATTGTTGCTCTTAAATTAAAGAAAACGCAATAAAAATGTTTAACAAACACGAATAATCCGAACAGTTAAAAATATAAATTATAATACGAAAATGACATTAATTAAAAATTCTTGATAGTCATCTTAAGTGTTATTTGTTTGTACGAATGTAGATTAAATTTCCTTAAAAAATTTCTAAATAAATACTTACTTTTTCGGTGAAATTCGGTTCTTTCGAATGTGTTAGCAAAATATGACTGTCTAAATTGTCTTTCCATAGAGTCGAATAATTACAATAGCTACATTTATAAAGTTCTTTTTTCGAGTGTTTATTTTTGTGTCTTTTGAAATTTGATCCATCTCCGGTGACATAACCACATTCCTCGCATTTAAATTTCTTTTCATTTGAATGTATTAACTTGTGTTTGTTCAAATTGGAAATCCAAGTACATTGTTTTCGACACACGTCACAAGTCAACTTTTCGCAGTTCGGATTCTTCTTCAGATGTTCGAAGAACTGCGCTTCGTTTGTAAACTCACTTTGGCACAAGTTACATTTAATGCTGCCGTTTGTGTCATTCAGATCGACCTCCTTATAAACAAATACTTCGATATAATTACATATATTATTTATATTTTTATGTTAGAATATCCAGATCAATAGAAGTTTTTTAAGTTTAACAATTGTAAAATTTTGTATTTTGATCATTGAAAGACAAGTAATTCAAGAATACGAACGGTCTCTTCATGTTCAAATAATTTCAGTAATGACACTTACCATTTGCTGGAGTTGCGACAATTTCTGGTTTGAGAAAAGCGACAAATTTTGTAATTATTGCTAAAATGTAATTATTACCATTGCATTGTTAAATGAGAAAAATGTTCATTGTGTTAACGGAAAACACAACAATATAAATACTTTTCGAGAAATCGAGTCGAAAGGAAACGAATTATTAAATATTTGTATAAACAAAATATAGAAAACTTGTTTCAAATGTAATGAAACTTTAATTTGTTTCTAAAAGTCGTTGAAAAACTGAGTTATTTTTAAACAAAAACAAACTTCCCCATAAAAAACAATATAAAACGGTTTAATCTGTTCTCGACCCCAAAACAGTCTGTCTTTTTTGCCATTTTAGCTGTATATCGTGCATAAAAATGCCTACAAATGCAATATAACATAACACTAACTACACCTATACTATCTGTATCTATTCTAAATATATATTAAGTATTGAACTGTAAGAAGATTTCAGAAATTGAATCTACATTTTTATTGTGTTTTTTTTTATAAAACAAATATAAAGACGCAATTAAACTAAATTTATTAACATTAGTACACATTTAATCATGAATTAAAATATATAGTTTAACAATATCGTATTACAATAAATTTTACAATTATCATAATTTGTTGGCATAAGACAACCCTTAATTTTAGCTTTCTGTACGTTTTTACCACTAATATGTTTAAGAGTAAATTCATTTCGCATTAAATATGCTAATCACTTCGTTACGAAGTATTTTGGCACTCATTTTAATCATTTTGATTTATTCGAACAGGAAAATCCTATTAATTTGAAAAACTTCGTATTCTTCGAATCGGAAGAATTGTTTGAAAGGAAATTTTTAGTTCTTCAATGGTTCTTGGCAGACGAACCTGGACGTTAATTCCATTTTTTAAATATACGTGACGAAAACGAGAACGATCGCGCTCTTCACACGGTAAAGTACGTGGAAGAAATACGTGGTAAGTAGGACTACGTCCGTAGTTTTGAGTATTTTGTCACAAAATGTAATTATTGGCACAGAAGAAGCCAGCGCAGAAGCAGATGAAGAATACATTTGCAAGCTGACAGGGATGACAAAGAACAGCTTTCTTCAGCTGCGACGTTTCAAGAGGAAAATCGACGTAAATACAAATAGCAGTACAGTAAAGCGTCGTTTATCCGAATCAATTTGGGACTGGAATTGTTCGGATAACTTATTTTTCGGATAACCGATTATGTACGAAAAAATATATTAACCTATCCCGTGTTGAAATTTTTCTCCGTTGCGTGTCGCTTCGCGTTAAATTTTCGTCGATGTTAAGCCTAACGTAAATTTTTAAAATAATAATCGTGGCTATTGTATTGTTAAGAATGATTTCTTTATGTTTTACAAACGAAATAAATACATTGAAAAATATAAAAACAAATAAAAATTACACTTTAGGCCAACTGGAAATCTTTCAGATAACCGGCGTTTCGGATAACCGACCTTCAGATAAACGACACTCTACTGTATTTCCAGTTCTTCCGGACTTTAATATTTTTAATAAACGAATGAATATTTATCGGAATGCGACACCGTTTTTCTCGTTATTCGCAAAGACCCATAACATTGTATATGTTATGGGTCTTTGTACCTTCTTGTATAGAAGGTACAAAGATTCAATAGAAGGTTCAATTAAAAACCTTCTTGTATAGAAGGTTTTTAATTGAACTAAAATATTTACGTAAACTTTGTACATTAACTTTCGGCTAAGTACACATAATGTGTACTTAGCCGAAGCTAATATTAACCGAGAGCATTGTAAGACGAATGAAACAACGTAAAATTTGAATTATCTCCATCGATAATTTTTTTTACCACCACTTAAAATATTTTGGATTTATTATTCGATGCAATCAAATTCCATACTTAATTGAACTTCTACTTCAGTACAATCGATATTGATCGATAGAACAAGGCACGTGGAAATATTCTGTAGATCAGTCATACAAGAAAGTTGACGTTGGTGTATTGAAGAGATCGGAATAAATAATGCAGAATACGGGTCAGTGTTTAAATGTCAATGTTAGTTCATTTTTCACTTACGTTCATTAAATTTTAAAAAGGCCAGCAAAGTGTAAAATCAGAGGAGGTCACTTCTTTACCGATCGCCATACTTTCCCTCTGTTATATATAACAGTCGAAAAAGTAATATTTCGATGCATTGAAAAATTTTATGGCAATTATTTACTTATTACAGTGAAACTTTCGTAAAATTACAGTCGATAATGGATTCGCATGTAAATGCCACGTGTCCGGTTTGTCAGATCGACTTTGTTCTTCAAGCGGCCAAAGTCTTCACCACGAATATAATTATGGACTGCAACTGCCAGAAGAACGAAAGAAAACGAAAATTTCGTTTCTTCCTGAACAAAGCTTACGGGTGTTACGAAAATACGGTACAACTTTTCTTGTGGACTATAACAATTCGACAGTTTCTGGAAACCTTTTTCGAAGGCGTAACGTGCAGTGAATGGGTATAAGTTTACGGAACCGACAATAGTTTTATCAGATTGATATATTTCATTCTTTATCTGTTTTGCACTGTTCTTTTCGGCATATTTAAAAGAAGAAAACTGTACTTCGAATACAAGAAAAGCGCTTACGAAAAAGAAACCTCCTTAAACAAATACTTCGAAGTACTTTCATTAATTTCACTTATTCTCTACTTTATTGTCATAATTATTATATGTGTAGTATTTGGTATATTCGGTTTTCCAATCACGAGAGAAAAGAAATCTCCCGAGGAAGCGGCATTTTGCATCATTTTAATGAATGCTACTTTCATATATTACTTCGCTGTTATTTTCCTTACCGTCTTGCAAGGTATCGTCGTTGGATTTATAATTTTCGAAAGATTAAAAACTCTGTCAACGGCGATAAAGAGTTTCCACGCTGAACACAGTCGTTTGGAGATTTTCTTAAACAGTTGCGTAGAAAAGCACACAGAAATTTTGGACTGTTTCGTACAGGTGAACGAGGTGTGCGAATACGTCTTTCCTCTGATCTACGCCGTGGCTCTGTACGTCAATTGCTTTTTCATTTACGTGGTGGCATTCATCGACATAAACTTGTCTCAGAGAATCATCATGTCAGCTTTATGTTTGGTATTATTTATAGTGACTTTTCTACTTTCCTTTGCTTTGTCCCATTTAACATCTGAGGTAAGCGCTATCTTCGTTTACGTAATAAAAATAGAAAATAAATACGTTTCTCTTGTGTATAATTTTCATTTTTAAATTACTCTACGTCATTAGAATTAAACGGCTATGACGCATTTCTTTTACGATTTATTATTTTGTTTAGTAATATTCGCATTTCAAATAATCAAATGAGGTGAACTTGCGATACGAAAACTGTAATAAGGAGCAAAAATTTCATTATTATAATATTGTATAGTGAAAGACAGAATAATGAATTAAAACAAACGCGAAACACCGATTTTTCTTTTTATTCCTCTCTTTATATACATATAACTAACACCTTATTCTTGTCGAGAAATATAAACATATTTCAAACAAACGTTTTCAACCTGATTTACAGGCTATCGTGAGGTTTATAACCAAATTCGAATTAAAGGATTCTATCATTGGAATACAAAACTCAAAATTAAAAATTAACTAAGCAACGGAATAAGATAAAATAAAATTAAGATATTAAATATTCAACGGGGTAACATAAAACAAAAAATGTAAAAAGTGTACATAGAAGTATTAATACAATTATTATGACTGGTTAGAGCTCTTACTAAACTTCTTAACTATAAACTTCCATGCAGAGGGAAACTTTCTGCATCCCTCGACTTTGCATGCAAAAATTCATGCAAAAAGTTTGCATGAATTTTTGCAAAATGCTTCATGCAAAAAGTTTTCCATTTGCATGAAAGTTTATAGTTAAGAACTTTAATAAGAGCTCTAACCAGTCATAATAATTGTATTAATACTTCTATGTACACTTTTTACATTTTTTGTTTTATGTTACCCCGTTGAATATTTAATATCTTAATTTTATTTTATCTTATTCCGTTGCTTAGTTAATTTTTAATTTTGAGTTTTGTATTCCAATGATAGAATCCTTTAATTCGAATTTGGTTATAAACCTCACGATAGCCTGTAAATCAGGTTGAAAACGTTTGTTTGAAATGAGTTTATATTTCTCGACAAGAATAAGGTGTTAGTTATATGTATATGTATGATTTGCTAGTACTGTACTTTATGATATTATCCCTCTCTTCTTCGTCTCGTTATCCAATTATAACCTTTTCCACTATTTAATTTAATGTTCCCACTGTGTCGAGACTAGAGGAGCCTTCCTTAGTGGTTAGAGTGTACGGACGAGCCAAAGTAAAGCAAAGCTTTCTGCCCCGTTAAAGACCTTGCCGAATTCGTAACGGGCTTCGTAAAGACCATCTTAAGCTTAGTTCACACTGAGCGCAATTCGTTGGCGAAAGCGAAAAACAGAGCGAATGAATGACACGTCAGATACGACGAATGTGTGAACTATCTTTTAGTGCCATAGAACGAAAAGAGCTAACTTAAAATTTGATTTAAACAATTTATGGTATTACTTATTTAATTGCATGGAACGTATAAAATCTTTATGCAATTGAAACCATAACATAACTAACATATAAGTTCAAATAGAAAATCGTACCTTTTATGGCTACTCTCTCTATTAAAACAACATTTATAGAGTCATCTGTTAGGATATTCTGTTATTAAAAACTTCATAAACGGATAGCGCCACACAGACAGTTTTAAATTTTGCTGGAGGAGTTAGGGAACTCGTTGCTGGAGTTTTTTATTTTCGTGTTGAATCGCAATGAATACCGTTTTTAATCGCTTCTGTAATATACTTTACAATGCAGAGTTTAATGCGAACTTATTCAAAAAATAATTACAGTAGAGCGTCGTTTATCCGAATGAATTTGGGACAGGGGTCATTCGGATAACTTATTTTTCGGATACCGATTATGCACAAAAAAATATATTTACCTATACCGTGTTGAAATTTCTCTCCGTTGCGTGTCGCTTCGCGTTGAATTTTCGTCGATGTTAATCGTAACGAAGA